CAAGCCTGCTGCAGTCACCTACCTGAAAGGCATTGACAAAGCACATTGGGTTAAGTACCAGTATCAAGAGCGATTCAATCTGCCGACTTACAACGAAACTACGTCAAATTTGGCCGAGCAAGCGAACAACTGGATTGGCAACGAGTGTCGAAGCGCCAGGCCTCTTGACGCGTTCTGGATCTACTTTAGACAGCTCAACGAGTTGGCTCCTCGTAGGAGACAGGTTGTGGTGACCTGGCTACGAGCAGCTCTCGACACGGACCCTGTTCCGCTTTTGGCAACTGAGCTGCAAAAACTTAGTGAAGCCAGCCAGCAATGTGAAATTACGATGTGCATGGAGGGGACGTACAACGTCATGTTCAACGGGCCGACAGACAAACCCGGATATATCCATCCGTGGCGGCTTGTCAATTTACCAGCAAAAGAGTGTACCTGCGGAAATTGGCAAGACAAAGAATTTCCGTGCGTTCACGCAGTTGCAGCGGCAGTGTGTGAAGGCCAAGCTCTTGACACTCTATTCGACTCGACTCGAATGTCAATCGCCCAGTTTCGACTCTCTTACCACGTACCGTTTCAGCCGTGGCCGACTAGCGTGACACTAGCCTCTGATCTATCGGTACGTATGCCCTGTATTCAGTCAGACCCACCCGAGCTGGGCAAAAGAGGTTTAAAGCCAGGGCCTAAGCCAAAACACAAGCGGAAAAAGGCAAAGGGAGCTGATTAGAGTTGGGTAAGAGCACGGTCGAAGCTCATCTCTTGCAGATACGACTCCGTTTCTGCTTCATAATACACCATTTCATTTTTTAAGTAAAAGTTTAAAGACTTTTGTTTTCACTTGATTTCAGTATGCAAAGATTTCAATATTATTTTTAATTTTATTATTTTAAAATGATATCGAGTCCAAAACTGTTTTTAGGCGCGAATCTCTGAAATCGGGTTGTTTGACGGACCGAATCGTCTATGAATTAGACTGATGGAGGCGTTTTCTGACATGTTTCTAGCTGCTCCGAGCCAAACCCAACACAAGACATCTGATCGTTTTTGGGCTTGTATTACCAAAAAAAGTATTAACCTGAATAGTATTAACCTGAAATTCTATTTTGTTAATACTAACATATCAGTCGATCTAACGCTAGTCAATGACTTGCGTCCAATCTAGGCGCGCCAAACCTTTCGCACGCCGCAAATTATCAGGCGCAGTCTGCCATACCTTCACAGTATCACCACCGCCCATGGTTTCGTCGCCGTCACACTCCTTCGTCTCCTCGTCCTCGTAGCCCTCGATTTCCCCCCACCAACCCGCCTTGTCTAACTCGCGTTTAATCGAATAGACCTTGCTTGAAAATCTACTCGCCTCTTGCTTTTTCTTCTTTTTTAAAGCGTCCGCTTTTGCCCCGCACCCAGTCCTCCGAAGAAGATGGTTCTTCAGCTTCGTCGACTTGCTCAGCGTTTTGTGGCAACGGTGGCACGTCCGAGGCTTCCTGGCCTTGGGGCGGCCGGGCGTCTTCTTGGTGGGGCGGCGAAGCGTTGGTGTCATAGCTGGCAAAGCAGGTAAGCGTAGGTAAAACTGGAAATGAAGTCAATGGTTTAGTTGTAGAGCTTTCAGCGATTTCCATGTTTAAGCATTAGTACTAGATAGTGCAAAGTAGTAATCCACGTCGCAAGCACTGATCTCAGTGCTTGCAACGTGACTCACGTCGGAGACACATCTCAGTGCTTAGCACTGAGATATGGAAATTCCTCGAAGAAAAAACGAGCACTGTCTACCTGATGGTGTGCTTGATTACTTTATTGCTAGGTAATGGATTCCTTAACGGGTAAGCCTAGTTGCAACAAGTGGCGCTGTCTAGTCTATATCAGCAGAACACCATTCCCGCTGGGCCAGCATACAACATCCATCATCCATTGCTGTGGTCATTATTTTAGTTACGCGATAAAGCAGTGTTTCAATCCCGTGTTTGCAGATGTCTGATATATAACGCTTCATGACGACGGATATTCTGCTTGATACAAGTATGCATCAAAATGCAATAGATTCGGTGCATTTTGAGGTATTTACGATTGTTTCCAGCTTTGCATTTGAATTATAGGGGCTGTAGAGACGTTTATGTAGAGAACACGCGCTTCTAGCCAGGTTTGGCATGGCGTTAGCCCCC